CACGCCCTCGTCGCCGGTGGCTATTCTCGCCTTGGCGAACAAAAACATCCTGAATCGGAGAACGAGCGGAAGAACGAGAGCGAAGGAATAGGGGAAAAAGAGACGAAGAGAATCTCTGGGAGGAACGATGAACAGAGAGAGAGAGAGAGAGAGAGAGAGAGACCGCCGTTTAGAGAAGGGATTCTGGTTGCACGGTGCTGTAGCCAGAATTCATCCAGAAAATGGAACTTTTTCATAGCGATTCCTCGGTCGCGAGCGGAGAAAGCAGTCTGTCGCTATTCATCCGCCGAGTCCGTCAATTTAGATGGGAATGTATACGCTACTGTTCAGTAAAATCGTAACATCATGATGGAATCGATATATTATAATGTTGTTAATTTTACGAGAGTAATTCTAATATTTGATTTAAGAGATTAACGATTTCGTTTCAAACTCATTGATTAAATAGCTTTTGGAAAACGCGTGCAGTCCCTGTGAAACAAGAAATTAAAATAATTTGTGAAGATAAAACTTTATTTTTAAGTTTAATCTTAGTTTTAAGTTTGTTTTTATTCTGTGAAACGTGTATTGACACAAGAAGTAATAGTAAATTTTAAAATATATATTAATAATCAGTAATAAAGTTGATTATTATAAAACTATCAGCGTTAATCTTTCGTTAAAAATCACATCAATTAGGTTCTGAATTTATAAAAATGTTCTGATTTCACCAAACACTACTTATGCGACTGTTCGGACCTTTGATTTTTGATAGATTACAGTTGTGGGAACTTTTATTCTGCTTATGATGTGAATGCAATATTTATGAGAGGCGGTGCATAATTCAGGTTTGTATGGATATCGGAGAACACTGTTGTACTACTTTGGATTGTTTCTTGTACTGTAATTTGAACGAATTAAGAAATATTGCATTAAGATTTAACAATGCGAAAGAGAGATAGTTTCTAATAGAAATTATCTTCATTAGAGTATATTCGCAGTGATTTAGCAAACAGATGCAATGTTTCTGTTTTCTTAATTAAATTTCGGTTAAAATGTAAATTATGTTCTTTCTCTTGTTACTTATTCCCTTTTTCACTTTTTATTATCCAATTATGTGTGTGTACTCGATTAATGTGCATTACATTTAAATCCTTAATAAGTGTCTCGATCTTATAACCGACAGATCGCCACGATCAATCTCCTTCTCTCTTTCTATCAGATTTAATCGCAACAGCAGGTTTTGCCAAAAAGCGCGTAATCCTCGGTGCGGCGGCCCTTCAGGTGCGCCATTGTGCCATTTTATCACCTGACGGACGTGACTCACTCTCCTAATCCTGAAAGTTGCCCGTGCTCGGGTCGTCGGCCACGTAGTTTTCGCCGTGGGTCACGCGAAGCGGAGGAGCGGCCGTTCTTTTGAGGGAGAGAAGGCGAAGGTCGCCGCCGCGGCCTCGCATCCTCGACCTCTCGATCGTAGGTGCAGGCACGTACAACAACACACGGAGGCTGCATCTCTTCCAGCTGCAGCCTCCCCCCATCGACGCCCGTCGTGGGCGCATCATCGCACGCATTCGCTGCGACTCTCGACGACGGACGACGGTGTTCTCTCTCTTCACGTGTCGCGATCGCGCGAGTGTGCGTGGGTGATGGATAGACGGTTACCGTGTCACTCGTGCGAAGCGCTAAACGGACTTGAATGGCCCGAAATTGCACGGGCGACTGCATTGTGCCCCGCGTCCGCGCACAATGGACGCTTGCGCGAGTGTGCGTGCGATGGTATGCGCGTGTGTGTGTATGCAGATGCGGGACACAAAGGGACGGAGGATCCGTCGGGAGATAACGATCTTCCAGATGATCGACATTCTTTCGTACTCGGCTCGATATCGAATCGGTCCGCTCGAGATCGGCGGACGGATCGCGCTTTCAACGCGCGCGCTTCTTTCATTCGATTGTAAGATCGCAGAAGTGAATACACTGGTATTTTAAAAGTAATAAATAGTAAAACGAGTGCTATAATTTATCTTTTATTTCTAGAAAAAAAATGGAATTATATACTCCTATGAGAAAAATGGAATTTTTGTTCGAAATTAAAATGCCTTCTTAAATCTTTTTATACAAAATACATTTTTTTTTGTCTGAAGATCTATTCTTTTCCGACGTAACCGATTGGGTAACTTTACAGAGATACGTTAAAAATCCGTTGATGTTCATCCTCATCTGTCTTTTCCTCTCTCTCTCTCTCTCTCTCTCTCAGTCTCAGTAACGTGTATCGTCTACGTTAAAAAAAGTCTATCACAACTATATCCGTTGGCTTGTTTTTAAACCATCACTTCTGATTCGCCGAGAGCAAAGCGTCGGTTACTCGCAAACTTGCCGGAAAAAAACGGAGAAAAACCGTCGCTTGTCTCTGTATGCATGCGTGTTTGTGTGCGATTCTGTACATACGCGCGCGTTACAAGAAAATAGAAATCAATCGACGGTAGTTTCATTCGCGAATCGCTCTCTTCTTTTCCGTTATCAAAAATGTCACACCTGGTTTAATACGGACCGCCATCTTAAATGTGTTGCTTTACGGTAACAAAGAAGAGCAAGGGTAAAGTCGAAACCAGTAAAAATTGTCCCAAAAATCTTGGACCCCTTCTTCCATCTCCCCATCTCCAGCGCTGTCTTTTCCGTTCGCGGAGGGGCCCACAGATTCTCACGGAAAAAAGCGTAATTTTCGACGAAAAAAGGGAGGGACGATGCAAATTCGTGGATGAAAAGGGAAAGCCGCGTGTGAGCCGCGCATGTACCTGCCGCAATATCCTGCGCGCTGGAAAGGAAGAAGGGTCCAGGATACGCGCCCTCGGGAGAGGTAAGAGACGTGTCGAGCGGAGCGAAATTTTATAGGGATTCCATACCAATACCGTGAGCCCGTCAGTTTCCCGGAGATATCCTACCTGACCTGTTGCATCTTTTTTTCGCCTTTTTTTTTACGATTTTGGGGGAATCCTCCCGTCAGGTAACCGTCAGATGGAGAGACGAAAATCGGGTCGGGACCCCCGAAAAGCGACGCGGCGCACTCGCAGGATTCACAGGATTTTGAATTCCTTCGCTCTTCTCTCCTTGCCTCGGCAAAGCTCCTGGCACACCAATAACGATCGTTCCCGGCATCCCTCGGTAACACCGCGTCGGAACCCGAAGGATCGTCCCCACCTGCGCCCGCGGTTGTGCGTTTTTATGACGCTTTCGCGAGCGTTTATCTCCATTTTAGGTTTCTCTCCTCGGCTTTTATCCCGGAATCGAGAGTCGATGGGAAAGCGCCACGAGACGAAGAGCGGCTCCAAATGGCTAAGCGACTTCTACTTTTTGGCATCGCTGACCCTCGTCCCCTTCCTCACCCCCAACGACTTGGCCCTTTCGCGGTTTTCGACTTTCCCACAAGAACGCGAAGAAACAGCTCCTTCTTGTGTCTTTAGTCGCGGTTGATTGCTCGCTTTAGTTTACGTATTCTTTCATTTATTTCGTGCTATTACGAAGGGTATTTAAAAGATTCTAATTAAGTAAGTGTATGTGTGTGTGAACGATATTTTTGACATAAAAATTGAATTCTTACTCTTCTTATATAGCGAAACTATCAAGGCAAGTTTATTATTTAATGCAATTTTTCAACTGTACATTATATATCTTTATAACTTAAACTCTTCAAAAATCAAAATTCTATTAAAGTAAATTTTATTTAAATTTAATTAAAGAATATAATTTTATAACTTTCTTAGAAGGTTTGTTCTCGCGACAAATCTTTCTTTTCTCTTCAGTTATAATTTAAATATTATTGATGCCTCGACAGTTTTGCTAAGGAAAATCTATTTCAAATTGACTAATAAAAAATTTACCATTAAAAGGACCTCTGATTTGAAACATCTTGTATATATTCATATTTAATATATATCTGATATACGTTATATAAAACTAGAAATGTCTCCTAAAGAATTCTTTAGTCTCTAACAAAACAACATATGAAAATTCTTATCACTATAACTTATATATAATACTTATACATAATATACGCGTTACAACTAGACGCAATATATATTACAAGTTATACAAATCTTTCTGTGATCAGTTAACTGACATGTGCAAGAAATGTGTACAGAAAAGATTCCAAGCTTTAGTGATCCCGGTAATGTACGAGGAGTTTCATCGCTTCGACAACGGACGCGAGCATGCGCGACATATGACGTTGGGCATCATAAATCCCTTCAAAATAGCGTATCGAAATATTTATTAAAAATCTCGCGCATGGACCAATCGCGGTACGTAAGCCAGTTTTCTGCGTATCGGTTCCGTGCCATTATCCCGGCAACCCCGGCGCGAGCGAGAGGAAGGAGACTCTCGGTAAAGGGGTGGCGAGGGAGAAAGCAGTCATAAGATACGATGATGGATGCTCGCGAAGGGTTGCCGCGATCGAGTAAGGAGGAGAGGGCACGCCGAAAAGGCAAAAGGGTTCGCTGCGACCAATCGGTTCGACGTAACCGATGCGCCCGACCAATCCCGGGGCCCGGTCGGGCCACGTGGTGGTGGGGAGGGTTGGTGCGCCCTTAGCGGCGAGGTTTCGTTGCGTCATTCTGACATTCGCTCCGTATCGGTCCGTCGACGAAGACCGGCGCTGTCCGGCGGTGACCTTCGCAATTTCACGATTTCTTTCTTATTCTTTTCGATTGATCGTGAAATCGTATAAATATTAATGAAGTGTTGAACGAGCGATAATTTCAAACGTGTCTAATCCAAGTCTCGTGAACGTAATTGATACACAATCGCGCGCTAACAAAAGTGAAAGCCCGTCGCATTTTTCCTTGGACCGAAGTGCGCACTCTCTTTTCTGTCCGGATGTCTTCCGAAGCGGGATGAGATCGCGCCTATCGATAGATCAACCTGGGATCGCCGGGCGCGATCCTTTACGCTTTCGTGCGAGGAATCGACCGTCGTGTTGGACCTCGAGAGACGTCCCGATGTAGGGACGACGAACGGACGAGACGAAACTATGATGGTGTTCCTGGAGGAGTCCAGAATGATTCTTGCGGACATGCGTCTTCATGCTACTAGCACACCGACCACTACCCCCACACATTATCATCATCGGAAGTATAGAGCGCAGAATAACAACAATTGTACGGCGACAGCGATTGTTTTTTAAAAAAATTCGATAAAACTTGATACGAAGTTTGAGAGAAGACGCTTTTTAAATATCTTAAATTTATATCTGAGAATCGTCTGAGATTGATGTGAGATTAATGTGTAAAGATTTATAAATACCTATTAAACATGGGAGAAGTAGATTGAAAACGTATATATATATATATCTAGATTATTTTTTCACGAAACCTTTGGTGTGCTTGTTACAGATGCAGATTTACACGGCGATGTTGACGGCCCAGAACTCAGCGGCGATGACAGGAGTATCGCGAGTGACATCCATGATGCCACTGAAGCGCACTTTGATAATGACTCTATGGACTCGGACAAGGAAGCTCTCAACTTGGTAAATTATTTAATTCTATAGATATATGCTCTATTTTATTTTATTGAATTTGAGTCAATCTTATTTTGCGAGAATCTTAAGATCAATATTTTATGAATTTGCGATTTCTATTAGAAGATATACGAGTATAATTCATAAATAGTTTTTACATAATCTTGCGTGCGCGAAGCTACAGCTGTTTAGATAATACGCGCGAAATTAATTGCACTTCTTGCTCTCAGGGCTCTTGTGTCACAACGGTTCTATTAATATCGATGTTCAATGTGATATACGCTCTCAAAATTAATAAAAAATATTTACGATCAGAAATGAATAATCATCGTGAATAATCGTCGCCGTCGCTATAAAATATAGAAAAAAAAACGAATCTTAATAATACATACACAGATAATCTCGCGTTGCAGCATCTCGTTTTATTCTATTAGACTCAAACATAAAAACACTAAATCTTTTTGATGCAAAATTTTTTACAAGCAGATGTTAAAGATAATAATATATATAATTTTTAATAGAATTTTTGCATAGAAACAAGAAAAACAATTTTACTAAACCATTTCTCAAATAAATTATATTTATGTACTCCCATTTTTGTGTGGCAAATTATTATACGTGTCTATAATAATTTTTTATACAAATTTTGTTTGATTCTAATCAATCCATTTTATCTATTTAGTTATTGCTAATTTAAAAAAATATGTTTTCTTGTACTTAACTCGTCAATAACGTTTATAAAAATGATTTTCTTCAATGATATATTCAACACTTCAATGATATTTTCTCTACTTATTTTAACGAAAGCTTGCTTTGTCATATGACGTATTATCATATACGTCGCCTGTGTGTGTTGCTTAAATATATCAACAGCGGTACCAATCCCATTTGCGAACGTAATATCCGGCATGCTTTCTTTCGAGAGGAACCGGTCGTGTCTTCGATTTTTTTCTTACGGGACGCTCTCTCTCTCTCTCTCTCTTTCTCTTGACGGGCGCGTAAAAAGCGCTCGCGATCAATATTTGACAAATAAATAAAGGAAGCCACTAGCGAGATGAACGACAAGAAGGGATGACGACACATAGGGAGAGTAGGTTTTATAAAACACAAAAGAGCGCAGGATGGACCGTAGTGACCAATATCCTGACCTGGCCGAGTGTAAACACGGCTTTGTTCGACGGCGAATTTACTCTGTAATATTAGGGAGGGTGGCCCTCTTCGCGTGGCCCTCGGCTGATTCTTCGTGTTCTCGGTCCCACATTACAGTGTGAAATGCGTCGTAGCCCGCATTTCGAGAGAGGGAGTCAGAGACTGTCACTTGATAATCTCGAGCGATAAACCATTCAATCGTAGAACGCCAAGAGTCGTCGGCATATCATTTGACTGATCGTAGAGACTCGTGATCTTGACTTTTAACATTGGAAGATGCGCCTTTTCGGAGTTGCAGATGTGTTAAAAGCACACGCTGCAACGACGATAATAAAAGTTTTGAAATAATACAACACATATTATAAATTTTTACACCTGAATTCAATATACAATTATTAATTGGCAAAAATTTTAACGCAAATTCAACGACGTTATTTCAGGTCACGGATGTCTCGCAACGGAATAGTAGTAGCGGTACCAGCGGCAGCGTGTCTCCGCCGAGCTCCGTAGTCAGCAACCAGCTTACGGGCAACCATCAACAGCAACAACAACACGCATCCAGCCAGCAGAACAACAGTAATTCGCAGGCAACGTTGGCCGCTCAATTAGTCGGCCAACAATTACTTATGCACGGCTCTCTCGGGACATTGAGATCGTCACAAGAGATCCAAGCGTTCGCCTCGACGCTGCAACAGCAACAGTCGTTGCTGCAGCAACTCGCCATGTTTCAAGCCAATCCGGCGGCGGGGCAGCTTCCGGCACAGGCGCAGTTCTTTCTGCAAAATCAGGTGAGTTTATGAAACTCGCTCTTTGATACAGACTAAAATGAGAGAAAGAGAGAGAGAGTTCATTTTTTGGATATTATATTTTTGATCTCCATATCATATTGTTGACATGGATATAACACTAGTCTGTATCGAATTATCTTATCCGTTTGAATCGTACATTACAATTCGTGCCGTCGCAATTTTGTCGGTCGAATCGGAGCCGATCGGTACAGATCGTCGAAGAAGCGACAATTCGGTCCCAATCCGGCCGTGCTATCTGATCGGTGCAGATCCGGCGAGAGCGAACGTCTTATTCTTTCGCGGACGGCACTCTCGCGATTCGACGTCGAGATAGCCGGCTTGGCGATGGCACAAAGGAGACCGGGGTGCTGCCTCTTCGTTTAGGCTCGCGCTCGCATACCCGATGCAAAAGCGCCAACTTACAACCACATCGAGACTGTACTTCGCGCTCCATTACGCCGCATTAAAGTCTCTTCGAGAGTAGTCATCGAGATAGTCCCGACTGCCTTTTGAATGGAACCTTCTTTGCCTGATATTTAGTTAGATTGTATTATGTTTCTATTGTTTCGCGTGGAAAACAAAAAAAGTGTAATTCGTCGCAAAAATACTAGTCGAAGAAATCTGAATCATAAATTGCATATGAAAGTATGAAAAAGAGATGTGATTAAAACGATCTGAATTTCAAAAATATTTAAATCTTTAATATATTATCGGAGCTATAATGACGTAGCGATACAAAAAACTTACAAACTGGATAATAATTGAAAACATCTCCGGAAAAAGCGTACAAAGAGATTTCCTGATGTTCCTCGATAAATATCACATTTCGAGCATGCCTTAAAACGCGATTGACGATCGTCGAAAAAGAAGCGACATATTTATCAGTCGTCTCGCAGCACGCATTTCTCGGATGAAAAGAGCGTTTCACGATTTTCTCACTATTTGTTCGTCGGATCTTTCGAATCGACAGAAGAAGGAGGAGGAATCGATCCACGATATCCGGGGATACGTTGAAAAACGATCCTGCTTCCTGGATGCGTTCTCTTTCTCTCTCTCTCTCTCCCTCTT